GGCTTCAGTCTGAAATGGCACAATTTAAATTTGGCTAATCATAGCCCAAACCACACTTGCAAACTTTTCTCAAACTGTGTTTTAGTGCTGACTGTGTTTTTCATTTAAAAAAACCCTATCAGTGCAGAGGTAGCACTAATTGTAGCTACTTCCACACTGGAAAGGGGGAGGACAATGTCCGCCTGAGGAGGAAGGAGGGTTCACCCGAGTGGCTCTAGTTTGCTAGAGGCTGGTTTGCCTGAGGCAAGGAGGTCCTTTAATGGATTTGGATAGTCAAGAAAACTCAGAGGCAAGAGCTCGGTTTGAGTCTAGAAGCACCGTAGAAGCCAACAAGATCTTCAGGGTATGGCCTCTTGAGAATCAGAGTGCCTTTCGTCAGATAAAAAACTCAAACCTAGCTCTTCTACTGCCCTCCTGAAACTATCTCACACAGGCAAGATAACTTGTTTTTGTGAATGTGGTTTAATAAAAAAACAGACCACGAAACAAACTTTCTTTTGTCCCTTTTAGTTGTTGGGGGCTTCCTACAGCAATGGACATGCCCTGGAACCTAGTTCCACTGCACCTTCTGGTCTCTGGTGAAGCCCCCTTACTGCTACTTCCCTTTCTTTCCTCATACTCTCCTCAGCTTGGTAGGTCTGGCTTCCCAATGTTTATGATTCTCAGTGACACCTGGCAGTCTGCTAGGTCATGCTGACTTGGGGCTAATGCCTGCACTTAGAGCTCAACACCCTTTATTTTGCCCTGTATTGGGGAAGCTGAATTGCTAAAAAGAGGAAGTAATCCTGTCACCTACTCATAGCTATGGAATTTAGTTGCCAACACACTGGAAGCCAGAATAAGGGTCTTTCAACCACAGCATCCCTAATACTCCTCACGGGTTCTTTCACGTTGGTACTGTGGGCAGTCACTTTGGGTTGACAATCAGGCACGAGCACTAAGCCTGAAAGAGATAACAAAATTCAGCTTGGCCTTTAAGTGTGCACTTGGCTGGACTGGATTCAGCACCCCACCCCAGTCCAACCTCAACCAAGGCTGATTGCACACAGAGGGTTTTGTCTGTTCCAGCAATTCTAACTGTGTGCCATTTATTTTTGTTTCTACATGATGTCATCCTCCATCCCTGCACAAATCATAAACAGCCTCCCCCCCCCACTAAAAACTTTTTAAAAACACACAGGGGGGAAAGATCTTTTCTGTCATGGCATTGTTGGGACAATCATTTTCATGTGCCTGGAAAGGAAAAGGTACGCTTTCTGTTTGAATTAAAAGAAATGCCTCCTGCATCCCATTTCACTGCATTTACAGTGTTGCCTTAGTTGACGCCAACAAAATTGAGGTTTTTCTATTCCGGAAGGGTCAGGGCAACATTACACTGCTGTTATTACATCACAGGAATACAAGCAGCACACGTTTTTCCTTGCTCTCAATTAGCATTTGAAAATTTTCTGGCGTGATCTCTCTGCCCTGCTTCACCCAAACAATAGGTGTTGAATTAGTCTTTTCAGTGTAGATGACCTTGATGGGACACCCAGTCCTTTCTAGTGATTAGTATTACCCAAGGATTCAAGTATTATATTGTTTTGAAGCGGTGCTGTTTTTTTAAAGTGTAGTATTCTTACACTATCCTTGAGCACCACAGTTGCACTCCCAGGTGGGTGGAGTACCGTGACAGTAGGATGACAACAGTGTGTGTGTGTGTATGTGTGATGCAATCCACATCTGATATGAAAGGTGTAAAAAAGGATTACCCAGTGCTGTGTGGAATCTCTGTTGCAATTGTGAATTGAGCAATAATCACACCCACGACATGACCACCACAGAACCCTCCACTTGTGTGTAATCAGCTCAAAGAGTGTAAATGTGAACGTTTTTGAAGAATGGGATATATATTTAATAAATAAAGACCGTAACAGGCCCTTTAAAAACTTGGGACTGTTGTTTTAAATTAAGTCTTGTTATTTTAATTTGCTTTCCTTGGGAGTAATTATGTAATTAATTTACTGAGGGCGTTTAAAGAGATGTGATTCATATCTTTGGAAAAACTTGTTTTTCTCTCTAGGATAACAAGAACGTTAATAGACCAAGATGGTCCAAGTTGGAGAGAGAAGCTACCCCCGATACCAGCTGTTCCTGTTTCTGCTCAGTTACACCGGTGGGATGGAGAAAACTTTGTTTCAGAGACAATGCAAAACAAAATGGCACCCAGGCATCAGGATGAAAAACCAAAGATTTCTGGTATTTTAATGTATTTTAGTGTGTATCAATATAGTAGGCAAACTAATTTTTTAAAAAAAGGAATTAGACATTATTATAAATAATATTAATAGCTATGTTGCATAGTGGTTAGAGTGCCAGGTTAGGATCTGGGAGACCCCGGTTTGAATCCCCACTCTGCCATGGAAGCTTGCTGTGTGTCCTGGGGCCCATCACACACTCTCAGCCTAATCTATCTCACAAGGTTGTTGTGAGGATAGAATGGAAAGGAAAACAATATATACCACTTTGGGTCCTAATGTGAAGAAAGGTGGGGTTTAAATGAAGTAAAACAAATAAATGTGTACTTATCTGAAGAGCTTCTGTAGTATGTCTGCATGTACCAGAGGACATTTAAGCTTTTCATCCTCTGCAGTTGCTTGTAACCCTCTATTCCCATAAAGCCATCCCAACAGTCAGGACCAACTGGGGATCTCTAGCAGAATCCAAAGAGTTTCAGTCCGAAATAAAAATTGGGAAACCCTCATTGGGTACAGAGAAGCCCTTGAATGTGCATACAGAATTCATGGATTGTAACTTGTTACTTGACATTAAATAGTCCAGTGATAAAATATTTTCTATATCTCATTCAATAAGATCTCCAGTTTCACAGAGGTCCATCAGTGGCTATTAGCCACAAGGTATAGATAGGGGCTCTGGGGCAAGTGATGCTCTGTCTTCTTGGTGCTTGGGGGGGTCAACAGTGGGAGGGCTTCTAATGTCCTGGCCCCACTGGTAGACTTCCTGATGGCACTGGTATTTCTGGCCACTGTGTGACACAGAGTGTTGGACTGGATGGGCCTTTGGCCTGATCCAACATTGGCATCTCTTATGTTCTTATGTTTCATTTTTAATCTTGGCTGACAGTAGAAAACTGTTTACATGCTTGGTAGCTTCCACTGCCAATACAATTCACTGTATGGATTGTCCTGTTGAAAAACATGACCTTGTGAAGGGAGATTCCCCGAGGAATGAAGAGGCTTATACTTCATGAATTCCATTCTCACTTTCTCAATGCCACAGAAGCAGTGCAAGAATTTCTTCTCTGGGCAAGGTTGCTGTTAGTGAATCCCTTCTATTCTTTTGGGAAATAGGTGAAAAAGCAGAAGAGATGTTCAAAACTCTTAAGAGTAAAGGGAATGAATTTGTGAAGAAGGGTAAATATGAAGAAGCATTGAGAAAGTACAATGAATGTGTGGAATTAAATTCTAAGGAATGTACCATCTACACTAACAGGTAAGTTGGGATCTAGAAGTATGTTTGCTTTGCATACTATCCAGCTTAATTAAACCCCAGTAAGAGTCTGCCTTTGATTTTTGTAGAAAGTAGATTATGTTTAAGACTACTGATAGTTGTGAGCAAGAGCTGCTTCTTGTATTACAGCTTTTTGTTATATGAAAGTCCTTAGTGAGGTGTGAAAAGATGAAACTTTTGTAGCAAAGATCTATGCCAATGTAGGTTTTTCCCCATTCTGGTGAACATTAGGGCTGATTGATCCCCATATTCGATCTCAAATATGGTCAAACTATGAGTCCAGTGGCACCTTTAAGACCAACAAAGTTTTATTCAAGGTATAAGCTTTCTTGAGCACACACACTTCTTCAGATACAGTGAAATGAAAATTACTATATAGATATAGGTAGAGGAAGTGTGCGTGCACACAAAAGCTTCTACCTTGAATAAAACTTTGTTGGTCTTAAAGGTGCCATGCCACTGGACTCAAACTTTGTTTTGCTGCTTCAGACGAACATGGCTACCCACCTGAATCTAGGGTCAAATTATTATGGCATCATGCACATAAAACTGTAATCTGATAATCTGCCCTGGGATTCTGTGAGTGTTTCAGTGTGTTCTTATGCAGTTCTGTTTCCTATCAGAGCCCTCTGTTACTTGAAGCTATCTAAATATGAAGAGGCCAGAAAGGACTGTGATTATGTTCTTCACATGGATGACTCCAATATAAAAGCTTTGTATAGGAGAGCTCTAGCATACAAAGGACTACAGGTAAGGAAGGACAGGAGCCAGGCTGTCATTAATTGACAGGTATTCAATTTAATAGCAGTAACATATGGTATGGGATGTAAGAGCAGTATAACGAAATCCCTAATCATTATAAGCATTAGTACAATTTAGTGACGGGTGTATGTTCCTATTACTTGTAGAAATAAATGGGGCTTGAAAGTTATTGCTGGTTTAGGGACACCCAGGATGGGACTTGGATACAAACCAAGTGGGTCAGTTGGGGAGTATCAGGACGAATAGTGGTAGTTGCTACTATGCCTCATACTCCATATGGTAAGGAGGTCTGACAGCAGATAAACACTCCAAACAGTAGTCAAAAAAGGTGTCACAAATAGGAAGGCCAGAAGTGGTTAACAGACCCTGTGAAACCTACAGAAGGCTTGGTAGCGTCAGAGAGGCTGGGAGAAAAGGGGACAGGGTGATAGCAGAAAAACACAGTAGCTGGGAGATTAATTGGACTGCCTTTGAAGAGTTTGTCCAGCAGCAGAAGACTGGAGTTTATGAGACGTTGTTGAGGCCAACCAAAGTCATGCCAAGTAGCAAAGAAAGTGGGAGTTATGGTTAACCACCCCTGTCCCAAACTGGAGGCCCTGGGGGAGGATTTGGTGAGGAAGCGGTTACTGGAGAAACACCTGTGTCATGCTACTCTTCACCCCCTAAGGACTACTTTTCTTGTGATACTAGGCAGTAATGTGAGAGAATAACTGGAAGTAGGCTAATTTGGACAACATCGTCAGCATTTTCTTGTGAACATTGTTTCTGAAATTTCACTTAGGGCCGATCTGAGTTAGTGCCTGAAAGATGAGTGCCCCCTACAAAAAAACCCCATACATTTCCCCCATTTCTTTTGTACCTGTTCACAGTAATGGCATTCCCCCTTTCTTCTGCTATGGTACTATTTTGTCTTTTTTGCTGACTGCACGATTCCAGCAAGTCAAGAGTCATATAATGAGCAAGAGAGCACAGTGCAGTTTAGCCAGTCAGATTTGGCTATTGTACTGTTGGCACTGAAGGTGAATAAAGCAACAGTCTTGCGGGAGAGAGGGAGAAAGAAATCAAGCCATCGTGTTGCCTGGATAGTCATACAGCTTTTTCTTGCTGAGCTGTGCCAGATTCCGTGTCTGCCCTGAGTAGTGCCATGCAAGATGATAAAGAATGCATCCTCCCATTACCTAGGCAATATGAGGCATCTGTAGTTGACCCTGGGATGAATATCATGCCATCTGTATAAGAACAAGCAGGAGAATCCCATCTTTCTTGTCTCACATACCTCACTGGGCCGCCCACTCACCATCAGTGCTTCCCTGTCTCACGTAGCAATGACGGTGGTGGGGGGGGGCGGTTCCAGCTCCCCCTCCTCCTCTCCCCCATCCACCTGCCTCCTGCCCTGGCACATGAGGTGGTGGCTTTGCCCCTCCTCCTGTCTGCCCACCCATCTGGCATAAGCAGCAGCAGCTCCAGTTGTCCCCTCCTGCCTACTTGACACAAGAGACAGTGGCTCCAGCTCTCCCTCTCTCTCTTGCCCATCCAGCTTAGCCAGCAGTGATGGCTCCTGCTTAGAGATGTAAAATTTCCAGAAATTTTGAAGCTAGGAAAAAAACCCGTTTTTTTTCGGGGGGAAATGGAAATTTTCGGAAAAATTGAAAAAAATGCTACATTAGCATTTCTTTTGTCTTTTCTAGATTGAAAGTCATTCTGTTACTTTAGGAACATAAAATATGACTATGGACATTTTTATTTGGCATGAAATTATCACAACTAGCATATTAAAAATATAGTGTATCCAAACAATTATTACAAACAGAATACCCACCCACATGCAAAAACAAAACTGAAACCTTTTTATTTTCTTCTGCCAATAGCACCTCCTAAAGGAAGAAATGCATCTTGCATTGGAGAGTTCAGTTTGTAACCTAGGACTGGCTTGTCCTCAGTGCACAGAAATTAGATCAATCTGATACCATATATATATATTTTAGAAATGATTTGGAAAATATTTGAAAGCAGGAACAAGAAAGGGAAAAAACTAAACCTAACAAGGAACTCCAAAACCAAACAAAGGTTAGTGGAAAGGAGGGCCAATATTAAAACCTTTTCATAAAAAGAGGTATATAAAACATATATAGGGGCCCAATTACAACCAATATATATAAAACTTTTTTAGCCCTGGTTATGGTTATGTTTTATATATATTGGTTGTAATATATGTTTTAATTTGTTATTATTAATAAATACATGTACCTCTTTTTATGAAAAGGTTTTAATATTGGCCCTCCTTTCCACTAACCTTTGTTTGGTTTTGGAAAATATTTGAACACCTTGTCTTAAAATATTTTATTCATCATGTTAAAATAAAACGTTCCATAATCATTTTTTCTTTTCTTTTTTCAATTTTTCCAATTTTTTTGGGGAAAAAACAAAAAATCTTCAGGGAAAAAAACGGAAAAAAACGTTTTTTTCCCGAATTTTTCCGGTTTTTTTCCGGGCCTTCACATCTCTACTCCTGCTCCTCCCCCCTCCCCACAGCCGCCATGTAAGGGAATGATCCGTTATATTCTGTGCATAAGAAAAGACAATGTTATCTTCTTGGAAGGTGTATTTTTCTGCAAACCTGGCCCCATTCTCCATCTGTCTGTCTGTCTGCATGGGGTCAGGTTCAGCATTAGATATAGGATATGGCTCCCACTTTAGGCAAACATAAAATAACATTCAGAATTTCTGCTGTCTCTGCTGTGGTCTTACTGTCAAGGCATGAAAAGAACTGGAGGAATAAAAATCATATGGTTGATATGTGTTCCACATCATATCCCTGCTGAATCTTCTTGTCTCTTTGTGTAAACAATTGCTCCAGCCTTTATTGAGCCCTGCTGTGCAACGGAGGGCAGAATAGAAATCCAATTTAAAAATGTGCTTCACTTTTCATACCGCTGCATTCCTGGGGGAGGTATTGTCAGGATGCTCACTAAACCATCCTCCATGTTTCCCGGGGAACTAGGCTGAGTACTGTAAATTTATAGGATTCCAGGAGCCTTGTAGAGGGAACCCAGTAGGTGTTGTTTTGTTCACTCATTCCTGACAGCCAGAAGCCTGGATAGGAGCTACATCTCTTGCCACCCCGGTGGATTCCTAAGAATGTAAGAATTTCCTTGCAGGATCATATCACAAGCTCAGTGCTGTTATCAGGAGAGATACATGAAAGAAGTCATCTCCGTCCCAGTTCTTCTTACCAAAGTCCTGCTGCCACACAGTTCTCTGTGTGTTTATGAAGACTGTGAGATTTCAAACTCATTCAAGTTTGATGACCAGTAATTTTCTAACTTTCAGAACTACAAAGCTGGTATTGATGATCTGAATAAAATTCTTCTAAAAGATCCAAATATTGAGGAAGCAAAGAAGGAGCTACAGGAGACAACCCAATTGCTTAAATTGAAAGGTGACGATACAGACAACAGCCGGCAAAAGCAAAGGAAAAAAATTGAAATCCAAGAGGTATTCCATGTTTTTGTTATGTATTAAACCTACGTGGGCTTGAACTGTTTTGAGATTCAGAGCACTACATGAAAGTTTTAAGAACTACTGGGATAATAGGTCCCAAATGTTATTTGACAACGTACTCAGCTTTCAAGTTGCTAGATCTGGGGGTTATTGATCTGAGAGTTCGGGGGTCCATTTTGGACAAATCATTGCAGAGCCATGAATCTCAACAGCCTGCATCTTGGTGGATGGTATTTTAGAGCTTCTGGATTTAGTGTTCCATTAAGAGAATCTTTTTTTATTGCCATGATACTGTAGTATCGACTTATATATTATTCCATACTGTATATAATGTTTTATATTGTATCCAGGCTCCAGCAGGTGGAGTGAATGTCATGAATTGATAGAAGTGGATCTTTCAGATTATGCTCTGGAACAGTATGCTGGGTAGCATGGAGGGCTGGCATAAAAAGAGGGTATTGCCCCAAATCTCCACATATGTGCCCCAGACCATGGAAATGTCTCAGGTTTTTTTCATGGCAGAGAGGCAATGTGAATCAGCCCAAAGGGAAGAAAACCATGGGATAACTTGAGACCTTTCTGTGGTTGGATGTTTACACACCTACATAAAAATTGCATAGGCTAGGCTAGGCCCATGTACATCTAAGTGTATACATCTAAGTATAGAAACTACTGATGGAATGTGTAAACAGAGAGCCTGGACTGGGTCCAGAGAAGGGGGTTCGGCAGAAGGTTTTTGTGCCTGTTATTGGGCTGCAGGTGATTGGTATGCAGTCCCTGATCGGCTGTTGGGCAGGAGCTGGGGATAAGGCCCTGCACAGTGACTAGTTTCCGTCCCTCTCTGTGGCTCCCCTCATAGCACATGACTGCAACGGTCAGCGTCTGAGGGGATCCCCTCACTATGCTAAACTACTGTACCGATACTGCATCACCCTGTTCCAAGTTCATAAGTTATTGCTTAATGTGAGGGTTTCTTCCTGTCCCCTGAAGCATCTTTTCGTGCTTCTGCTCCAGCCTGCTTGCACGTGCGAACTTGTTTCTGAACACAGATGGTTGTCACCAGATTTAGGCAAAGGTGCTACATAGCCTGCATTCATAGATACTAGAAATAATCTTGATGTTGACTTTTTGCTATAACTTCTCTGATTTCTTAACTGTGCCAGATGATAAATTCATGGATCATGCATTGCCAAGTAACAAGGAACTTCCGTATAGTGTGATGCCCTGCTCTGCGCTGTGCATGATTACATTGAGTGGGATTGATGGAAATGGGGTCTTTCCTGCGTGCTTGGCCCCCCTCCCTCTTAGTGGGTGTCAGTGGCATGCAGTTGGTCCCTTCCTACGTTGTCATGTTGTTTACCGGGCACCATTGGATCACATCACTCAGAAGCCACTTCCCTGCTGCAGGCTGTATGTGTGAAGGGAGCCATAGACACTAAATTTAGGAAGGTCCAAGAGAGAATAAAATGAAAAGGGGAAAAAAACTGGGGAAGAACTTTCCCCAGAGAGAGACTGTAAATATTAGCTTAGCTGTGATGAGGGCATAATTTCCGTCTGTGTGTTCTTGAACAGCTCACATTCATTTCGTTGGGGCTTGTGTAGGAGAAATTCTCACAGTTATGAAATGTGTGTTGCATACATATTGCTGAAAATACGTTTGTGGTTGTTCCTCGTTAAGGTGAATGAGTGTGAAGAAGAGGAAGCCCAGACTTGTGCTTCAGAGAATGCTGCAGTTAACAGCCAACGGTCAAAAGGAGAGTTTGAAACTACGGTGCCACTGAAAACCCCAGAAAAGTTGGTGATTTCTAAGCCATCAAATGCCTATGAATTTGGCCAGATGATAAATGCTGTGAATGCCAATAAGGACATCACTGCCTGTGCAGAGCTCTTAACAGTTATTGAACCAAAAGATTTGCCAATGCTGCTAAGCAACAAACTTGAAGGAGACAATTTCCTATTATTTATCTATGCCCTGCAATCTGATGCATTTTGTCAGGACCCTGGGCTGGTTTATCAGCACCTTCTCTACCTGAGCAAAGCTGAAAGGTTTAAGGTGAGTAACTATTTCTTCAGTTTAATATCTTTCTGAAAATGTACCAGTAAAAAGTTAATGAAATGCTTGCTAACACTAGTAGTCCCTGGATGTTTAGAAAAAGCTGTTTATAAGCGCTAACCTCACAAAAATATTTTTGTTCCTTTTCAGCTTGTGCTGAAACTTCTTAGTGAGAATGCAATGGAGCAAGTTCAGCAGCTGTTTGAATCTCTTTCCAAAGAGCAAAATGAACAATTTTCTTTACACGATCTGGAGAGCCTTAAAAGAGACTTTGAACTTTAAAACAACTTTGTTTTGGAACTGCCTCTTGCATGCATTCCCTTGATGCCTGTAGGATGGGCATATAAACTATGCAAATCTGCATGGGGTACAGTCCGTTTCACTTGGACTGCTGAGTATGCTGCAATTTTATTTTATTTTTTAACCGTTCATGCGCATTGAAAATCTGCTCTTCCATCTTATGGTAGCATATATTTTTATCCTACAGAGTACACATGCATGTTTTTATATTTATGGGCTGTTCATTCACAGTGAGGAAAAATTGATTGAATAAATGAGACCCTGAGGTTATATGAGGCAAGGAGCATGTGAACCAGGAGGGTGCAGGAGATGATACCATTCCTAGTGAAGCGAACAGCCCCTAACAATGTAGCTCCTGTGATCTAATAATCAGAATATGCTCAACTACATTCAAGTGTATTCAGGAGGCTATATATGGCCACCCATTTGTTAGTATGTTTTTTGGTCGTATTGCTCTGTTCTTGTTATTCAGAAGAACCTTCTAAACAAGTTGCTTTTCAGAAACCATTTTTAGTATACAGTTCTGTGGGGGGAAAGTCTCTTGTACAAGCCCCATTGGCATGAATGGGCATTCTGTGTTGCTTTTATTTTCCTGGGACTTCTGTGGAACGCCATTCCCAGGGAATTGTGCACATAGGCTTCACTTTTTGTTTCTTGACGGATAAAATGAGTACTCTGTGCATCTAGCTGCAGCACAGATGAAACCACCCTTCCCCCCCCCATCTGCCACTTGTGCAGGCGCTCCTGTTGAGTGCACTACTATGTTGTCTTTAGAGGGCAACACTAACTCGTTTATTCTCATCCTGTTATCAGTGCTGCTAACTGAAATATATGCAGTGATGTGTTTGAGAGGTCTGAATATCTATGGCTACATCAGCCTTTTGGGAGGGTTGTAACAAGGGATAGTTTGACCCATGTTACAGCCATCTAAGTGAAAGCTCCGTTTTATTTTTCTGGGTGTGCAAAGACCCCTTTCTGTTGCCTGTGCAATTCTGGTGAATGGCAGAGTTGAGAAGCAGGACAGGCTATGTTGTTAAATGTTTTGAAGCAATAGAACATTTTTAAGCAAACTGGAAAATAGTAATTTATTATTAGTGTGCATATCACATTTTATTATGGCAGGGGTCGCTCAGGTACTTGCACAATTTTGAAGGTGGTATAATTTATCAGTGGCTATTTTTCCTGTAACATTTAACAAAGATATGAATTTAAAAAATCTTCTGTTCTGTTTTGGTTAAGAGCTTACCTACTTGTAGTTCTTTTCCTATTTAAAAATAAAGATATTTGGCATATTATGCACATTATTCAATAGTCCTTTTGGTGTGTTGCTTAATCATTTGTTTAGTCAATTCCATATTTATTTCTCACTATTTACCTCATTTTTGGATGCTCCAGCACGTGCGGGTTGAGCTCAAGAGTCGATCGCCAGTTGTGACCACGGATGATGAACATTTGACAAACTGTGTCTGTGCTTAAGCTGTTCACATTTGATCATACAGATTTTGTCTTTTTGCATATCATGCTACTGCTTCCTATAGCTACTACTGATCCAATGCTACCCTAACCTTGTCTGTTATGTGCCACATTGTACACAAAAAATGTAATACTTCACAGTTACTGTGGTACAGTTTTGAGGAGTCAGCATGTCTATCTTATTATTTTCCTGATTCAGTGATAGTTTACGGTAAAAAGCCAGTGGACTGTCTGGACTGGAATCTGTTTGCATATGTTCATTCTCCCACAGCCTCATGGACATTGTAGTTTGTTTTTTTAAATACCCCCCTACAGTCTTGTTAAATCTTACTTGACTAACAAAAGAGAAATTGCTGGGCTGTGGGACTTTCCCCCATTATATTCTTCACCCATCATGCCTACATGAGTTTTGTTTGTAAATATAGAAAGCACGCAAACTGTTCAGATCAGGAAATATTCTCAAACTGTGTTATTGCACTGCTTCATGGGAGTAGTCGTTTTTGGAAAGAAGGCCTCCTGTTCCCCAGGTAACGGTGTGACTTTTGTCATGATTCATGATGGTGACAGGCTCTGATGTTTTCCTTGTGGCCCTGTAGCATATGGAGCAGCTCATGCAGACAACCAGGTAGAAGCAGCATCTCTGCAAGTGCAAAGCTGCCTGGACATGGTATTTCCTTGGGACTTTAAATAAACACATCAAGGGGATTCTGTGAAGGATGCAGCTTGTAGTACACAAAGGATACGATGCAGTATATTTCTCATTTAGACATCCACAGTCTTTATGTAGTTGAGCAGCTTATCATGAATTTGTATTTTCCTACTTATAGTTTAAAACAAAATTTAGTAACAGGATATACAACCTACCCAGAAAACAATTATGCTGGAGAATGTCAGTGTACAAAGCTGTGTTTTGCAAAGTATCTTTTAACCCAGTGATCTATATATTTTAACATTTATAGCCCACCTTTCCCACTTAGACTTGGTGGATTACAGAGAGAGAAAAAGATGTCATCACACAATATAGGACATTGAATAGATAAGGCAATAGAGCTAGGAATACAAAATTAAACAACAATGTGAAGAGCCAGCTGCCCAGGCCAGTATAGTGCAAGCAGTGCAGAATGTGGGATTACAAAGGTTTAGGCAATGCCAGCGACCACACAAAAGCACTCTTTTTGGACTATTTTGCCCTGCTACAGACCAGTTCCATATTACCTGATATACAGCCGATGTGTCACTATCCTGATATCATTAACTCCTAAGCTAGATATGGATTAGCAACAAGGAACAATAGTCCAATCTGTTCGTTGTTTTCTTTCTAGGACTCCTGTCTTGTTGACTGTATGGCTATCAATGGCTAAGAATGCTGATCACTAGGAAAGCAGACTGGCCAGGAGAATTTTCTGTAACTTTTTAAAAGAAGCATTTCAGTATTATTATGAAAGTGTTCAAATAGGGTTGATTATACAGTGAATTTGTATTGGCCTCAAGAACTTGTCAGTTCTGAGCTCGGTTTTGGTTCAGGGGGATTCATAAATTTAAGCTTGTTAAGATCAGGATCAGTGCTCCTTCACGATCTATGTGACTGTGAGGCAGCCATGGGGAAGTACATGTGGCCCATTTGCCTGGAATGCTAGCATGAAGATGATGTTACAGTTCTTTATTTAGAACCTGAGTGATTTTAGATTATTTGTCTGTTGATCTCTTACTAACTTCTGCGGTAAACTGAACTAACCTTACCCTTGCTGAGATTAAGGGTGCAGTGTTTCAATCACTCCTTAAACCCTCTTGCCTCCTAGTCAAGAGAGACAAAAACACAGGATGAAAAACTGTGAGAAGAAGAGAGAAGAAAACACAGGAACAGGATGAAAAACACAGGGGAAAAGATCAAGGCACATTCTGTGGAAAAGCCACTTTATTAATATGGTTTGTGAGAACAGCTGCTGATGTGTGTGTAAAATTAAGCAACAAATATTAATCACTGGGTGAGCACCAGCAGGTATCCTTTTGCGCAATAAAGCATCAACTCTGCTCCAACTTTTAGTGTAACATCAGCAGTAGACCGGATAACAATGTGCAAGACCTTTTGTGAGAAAAACTGCAAGCTGCGTCTACAGACTGGGGCCCTGTTATTTTTTAAAAATCTACTGAAGAGAGAGGAATGCTTCATGTTGCTAAATTCCTGCATTATGTGCAGGAATTATAGAGATAACTAGAAGAGGGGGTTACAACTATGGCTTGGAAACTTTCTGGAGCTTTGGAGATGGTTTTGGGGAACATAAGATGTTGGATCAGGCCAAAGGCCCATCCCATCCAACACTCTGTGTCACACAGTGGCCAGAAATACCAGTGCCATCAGGAGGTCCACCAGTGGGGCCAGGACATTAGAAGCCCTCCTACTGTTGACCCCCCCCCCCAAGCACCAAGGAGACAGTGCATCACTCGCCCCATAGCCCCTATCTATACCTTGTGGCTAATAGCCACTGATGGACCTCTGCTCCATATGCTTATCTAATTCCCTTTTGAAGCTGCCCATACTTGTAGCTGCCACCACTTCCTGTGGCAGTGAATTCCATGTGTTAATCACTCTTTGGGTGAAGAAGTACTTCCTTTTATCCGTTCTAACCCGACCGCTCAGCAATTTCATGGAGTGCCCACGAGTTCTTGTATTGTGAGAAAGGGAGAAAAGTACCTCTTTCTCTACCTGCTCTTTCCCATGCGTAATCTTATAAACCTCAAGCATGTCACCCCTCAGTCGTCGTTTCTCCAAGCTAAAGAGCCCTAAGCGCCTTAACCTTTCCTCATAGGGAAAGTGTCCAATCCTTTTATCATTCGAGTTGCCCTTTTCTGCACTTTTTCCAAAGCTATAATATCCTTTTTAAGGTGTGACCAGAACTGCACACAGTATTCCAAATGAAGGGAGAGCTCAGCAGGATTTTTTTTTCAGGAATATGATGCCAGAGAGTCCACCCTCCAAAGATGCCATTTCCTCCAGGGAAGTGATCTCTGTAGCTGTAATTCTGGAAGATTTCTGGGCCCAGGCCCATAGCCACCATTTTTTTTAATGGGGGGGAATGAGTACAGTGCTTGTTCGCCTGTAATTATTTATTTATACTGGATTAGTTATTTACCAATTTCCTACTTAAGACTCAAAGTGGATTACATGGTATGGAACATTGTAATCAAATAGCATGAGAGATCTAATAAGCAATGCAATAGGATTAGGACTGCAAAAATTATAACGTGCAAAAAAGTATCAGACATGCTATGTCAAACAATGCACAAAATGGAATTATAAAAAACGAGAACAATGTTGTAACAGTATAATGGAACATACAACAAATCAATAATATATACCATACACTGTGGCATAGACTACACTCCTGCTCTGTATTAGCTTTATAAAAATGACCTCCTAAACAACTGTTCTGCATAGTTTGAAGAATTAAAGTAGTGTGGGAGCCTTTCTTTCTTAGTGAAACTTGTAACTGTAAACACAGCCTTCTTATCTTTGTAAATCACTAGCTCAAGGCCTCCAATAGTGCCACCCAAACAAATGGGTAAGATCAGCAACTACCCAAAGACATGCATCTTCTATATGGCTCCCATTTTAAGGAAGTCAGGAAAGCTCCTACACTTTTGCCATTCTGCAAACTACGTAAAACAGAATGGTCCAGGAGGGCATTTCTGTAAAGGGCTACAGGATAATAGAATAGTTCAGGAAGGAGCTTTTATAAAATGAACAGTACTAGAATACAGTATATTATTAATTTTTTGTTTGTCGTATTAACCTGCTCTTACTGCATTGCTTTCTACCTTTGTAATACTATTTTCTGAATCGTTTGACATACCATGTGATTTTGCTCTGTTCCAAATTGCTGTAATCCTAGTTTTATTGCATTGTTTTTAGGTGTCTCATCTGAATGAATACATGGACTTAAAACTGTGCAATTTATTTTGAGTCACAGTGGAAAAAGGTAGACTATAAATATAGAAAATCCATAGGATTGAGATGTGAGTAGGATTTCTTTCTAAGTGAACATGGGGGTCAAGCAACTGTAGCATGATCCTTGGGGTGCCTACAGGTAAGGGACTCTTTCCCAGCAACTTCCCATCGTCAGAGCAAACACCACAAAAGATTTGTGCTCACTTACTTCTGGGTCTAAATTGCTTATTATTTGTCTCCTGTCCAAAAAAAATAATTCCCCAGCAATAAGAGTTCTACAGGACTATCATGAAACACTGTCCTGGTCTCTTGTCTTTTTCTTTGCTTTGTTCTTTTTTTAAAAAAATTATTACATTTTCACTACATACTACATACTACAAAGGGCAGGAAACGTGGGAAAGCTAACTAAAATACATTTAAACAGGGATCTAATATGATAAAGAATTACTTTTTCCAAACTTTCCCTTAGCTTTAACATTCTACATGATGAAGAGTGAGATTAGCTGATTCAGATATATTCTAGTACAAACAACATTAGCCAATAAAGTGTATTCTGGTATATTAAGCTAAATATTATTAAACTTGCAGGGTTAATTCATTTTTAGTTCTTTTTCCCTTTAGGCTTATTTTTATCATAGTTCCATTTGACTTTAAGGAGCTTGGGGGCAGCTGCTCCCAAATCAGATTCAGAGTCTTCTCCTGAGGAGCTGCCCACTGTAGAGCTGTTTCCTGATCCAGTTCCGCTGTACTCTTCTTCTGCATTGTTGTCCTCCACTTTTCCTTCTTTTTCTGTTTTTTGATGCTGCTCCAAAAATGCTTTAGCTTTTATAACAGAGTCTATTTTTTCTCTCTTTGAAGTTGAAGATAAGACCCTGTGGCAAAATCCATCTGTAGGGAGTGGAATTTTTCTGTAGAAATGTTATCAATTTTTTGTATTGTTGTCTCGACTTTCTTATCTGAAATGGAATATCTTTTAAAATTATTATTTCTTTACCTTTGATTTTTAGAGTAATCCCATTAGTCACTTTGAGTATAGCATCTCTGATAGACCTTTTGGAGAATTTCACAAATATTTAACCAGGTAGCTTATTTTTCTTGATGTAGTCTGGATACGTCCGGTAGACTACATCCATTTCGCTTTGTATAAGTTCCGCTTTAAGGTCTACTACCGGTGCCAAGGCGTCGCTTAAAATCTCCTTGAGGTTTTCCCCTTTTTGTTCCAGAACACCTTGAAATCTCAGGACAAATGATTATTTGTTGTTTATGAAAGGCTTTCTCTTTTTCCACTGCCTGCAGTCTCTGTTTCAATGCTTTTGTCTTAGCATTGACTTTTCTCACTGACTTTGCTGTATTCTCTGTTTTTATATTGACTTCTTTTAGCTGTTTTTGGAGAGTCTCAAAGTTATTAGATGAGTCATCTGGTCCAGTAGAGGGCGCAGTGCAGTGGTTAACATGCTTGGAAAGTCTATGGTTGCTTCCTGTTGGAAGCCAACGCTGTTGAGCTGGCAGTTCCTGAAGGAGAAGGTCTTACTTTCACCGTCATTTTTTCAGTCCAATGAAGGATTGTTTATATTAAGAGAAAGTTCAAAAAAGTATCTGTAGGTTTATTCAATCACGCTTTTTAACCAGTCAGCACTCTATTTGTGCTGAACAATGCTTTTCAATCAGCTTCCCCCCCTCCACCTCTTACAGTTGCTGCTTTTTCCTCCCAGGATGAGACCAGCTCAATTCCCTCCACTTTTGAATTTAAGGGGTTGGGGGAAGCTGTCCGCATAGATTTCTGTCTGGATTAAAAGCATATAGACTCACTCTTCATTGGCTGCTTGCTTCAGTAAGGTAGGGAGACCTTTAAAGCGCTTGCTCTCCTGTTCGCCTGTCCCGGTGTGCGTTTCTGTCGCTGTTGCTGGTCTTGCAGCAGTGGGACCTATTGGGGCAAAGTGGAGCCTCAATCCCTTGGCCATGGCCTTGGGAGTGGCACTTCTCGCACCCCAGGCTATGGGCCCCCAACAAGGGCCCTGGGAGGGGGATCGGAATTGTCCAGTACCCCTCCCACTTGCTACGGTCATGGGTTGCGTTCATCGGAGCTCGATGAAATGCGCCTGTCAGCAATTCGCCAAAACTGGAAGCTTTGCTTTGTTCTGAGTCTGCAACAACACCATTTTTACCCCCACATTCCTTAATCTCTGTCTGCTTTACTTCAGCATGATTTTACTTCCTCCCCCCTCACACTTTTTAAAACAGGGCTCTTCAGTCCTGTTAGCTGCTAATTCTGTTCTAGCCAATTGCATAGAGAATTCATCCTTGGAAGATGTATGACAGCATTCACACCTTTTTACATCAGCTCTTTTACATAGAAAATTTACACTTGAAAGATGTGTGACAGATTTCACAGCAACCCAAAGCGATGATTGGCAAATGATGGGGCACCACCCCATTTTGCACTACTGTGTGACTATGGGTCTGTCTTGGGACACACCTGGAGGTGGGCTATTCCACAAGGTGGGAGGGACCACAACGGAGAAGGCACACATACAGGTAATCGTTGATTTTGCCCATTTGTAGGTTGGCACCTGCAGAAAGCCCTGCTCAGATGAGCAAAGCTGTCATGACAGAGCACAGGGGGAGAGGCGGTCTTGCAGCTAGCCAGTTTGGTGTAGTGGTTAAGTGCACGGACTCTAATCTGGGAGAACCGGGTTTGATTCCCCACTCCTCCACTTGCACCTGGCTGGATGCCCTTGGGCAAGCCATAGTTCTGTCAGAGCTGTCCTTGAAAAAGAGCAGTTTCTGTCAAGAGCTCTCTCAGCCCCACCTACCTCACAGGGTGTCTGTTGTGGGGAGGGGAAGGGAAAGGGGTTTGTAAGCCGCTCTGAGACACCTTTGGGTAGTGAAGGGCGGGGTATAAATCCAATCTCTTCTTCTTCTTCTACCTTAAATTGATCCTGGTAAACTGATGGGCAGCCAGTGAAGTGACTGTAGACTGGGAGTAATGTGTGTGCTCCATTTAGCTCCGAATAATAGCCAAGCTGTGGTGTTCTGCACCAACAAAAATTTCCAAATTGATTGAGCAGAAACCAATGTCATTGGTCCGTTTAGTACCAGTTGCTATACAGTTCCTTCCAAGACTTGCCCAGATATAAATAGAACAAAAAACACATACTTGTACTGTACAATATTTTAGTTCTGCAAACAAATTTGATTCCCAGAAGGTGTACGGCATTTTGTTTAGGTACTCCATGCCATTTAGCTCTGACTGTAGGTCTGACTCTCACATGGATGCTGCTTTCTCAAGGGGACACACAGACCCACTCCCTTGGTCGACTATCCCAGAGATGCAAGTGTGATTTTCATAATAGATTCTAGAGACATGGAGAAGGGAAAGTGTCAAAATGGGCCACTCAATCAGGGATTATAAGGAAGCTGTAATGTTAGAAAGGGTAGAGCAAATGAGCCCCCAATGACACTTTCTACCATTTCTGAACGATATTTCCATAACTGCAATTTTAATGGTGTAATTCTGAAAAGCAAGCGAGGGAAATGCCAAGCTTTCATCATAGCCAGAAAGAGACTCAAGCATAGGGCGCTTCAAAGGCAAGTCCACGACTACTTCCATTTAGTTGGGTGTGGAGTACGAAGAGCACTTATCGGTTTTCTGCTGTGGTAGCGGCTTCTGTCCTAGCTGTAGACCTGTAGTCACATAAAGGTATGAGTGAGCAAACAAAGTCATGGACTTTTCAAAATAAAGTTGACATCTATGCTCTACAAAGCCTGTGGAAAGGCCCTTTCCCCCACTATCACGATCCGTGGAACTGATTTTATAGTAGGTGATTTAGAAGAAGAGTTGGTTTTTATACCCTGCTATTCACTACCCCAGGGAGTCTCAGACCAGTTCCATTCCCTTCCTCTCCCCACAACAGACACCCTGTGAGTTAGGTGGGGCTGAGAGGGCTCTGAGAGAACCATGGCTGGCCCAAGGTCACCCAGCTTCATGTGGAAGAGTGGAGAATCAAACCCGGCTCTCCATATTAGAGTCCGCTGCTCTTAACCACTACACCACGCTGGCTCTCAAGCAACTTACTGGCAACAGGGGCTAACAGCTGTTTCCTGGGTGTCTACAAGGGCAAGAAGGCAACAGCCCTCCCCAGCTGCATCTCAGTATGTGACAGGTGCTCTCTGGAAGTTAAATAAGCATGGCTAATAGCCATGGATAGGCATTGTATAAGGTCCTTTCCAAAAAGGGTCCAAGCCAGTAGCCCTCAGCATGCATGGTGGCAGCAAATTTCTTGTTAGTTATGCAATTCTGAATCTACTCCAGATACCTTCCTGTCCCATTACTCAGGCTCATCCCCACCCTACAATTTATCCTTTCACAAGCAGTACCCCACTTAGAATACCATGTGTGTGTTCTTTTAAATAATCAGCACTGAAATCAGGATATTTTTACTTAAATGAAACCAGCCTCACAGGAGGTTAGTCTGGCAGAAAAACGGAAGAATGGTAAACAAGAATTTAAAAACAGTTAACACTTGCTACTTTCAAACTTCTGAAAAGACATTTTTAGTTCGGACTAATCAAATGGGTGTAGATGACCTCGATGGGAGGGATGAGCCCACCACACTCCAGGATAATTTAAAGCCTCTGAGAATTACTTGTACAATCGATAAAGGGCTCTTTCTTCGACAGACAAAGCACAACTCAGATAGTACTCAGACATTTATTTCAGGTATGCAGTTTACACACATCATTGAGCAAAATGGAACAGCAAATATACAAATATTGTAACAAGCGTTACCAAGTAACATCTCTGGCACCTAGTGTTATAAGCAGATTAAAGAAACTGGTGAGGGGAAAGAGGACTGCAGCTCACAGCGGCATTCTTCTCACAAAACCAAAAACTCTTCAGTAGCACCATTATGGCCATACATACGAGTAACACAAACAATATTGGAGACTGTTACGTGAAGATCCACCTCTCTCTCACTCTCACAGAAAGGGGGAGAGGGCACGCTTCATTATGAATTGTATCGCAGACATCGAACAGTGCAGGCGCCTGAGGCTAGCTTCATTCAGCTGAACATTTTCCATAAGCAAGAGGAGGGAGATACAACCCCCCACCCCAAAGCCAGTGATTTTTTTTAAGCCCATCAGCTGTGTTTGTGCAAGCTCTGCACTGTGCTTTATTTCTGTGCATGTGACTCGCAAAGGGATGTGAGAAAAGTTATCCACAAAAAGCCTGAGTGAGTCTTTGGTAGGCTAATACTTCAGTATTATGATACCCATTAATCTACCATAGTCGGTTGATTTTCTGTAGTTTTCCTTCAGATTCCAAAGAGGTGGCAAAATGAGGACATTCTGGAAAACCATACAGTAAAATCATCAACAGACCAGGTATTTAAGACCCCAGTCTCCTCCAAAGGCACAAAGAATTAAACAGCATAACTGATGTCCCCTAGTAAGAGGTGACCGTATCAGCTTCTCTACAACGATTACAAATTAAATGATTTAAATTTTACAAAAACTTTATACAGCATTATCATTACCTTATCTGCTGCTGTCAGTTGCAAATATAATTCATTCCCCCTGCTCTCTTGAAAAGGAGACGTCACCTTGCTACCTACCATATATCAAGTACCATTTTTTTTGTATTTAAAGTTATGATAAATGCCATAACCTTGCTCAAAGAATGTGCCTCAGCATTAACAGATTACATTCCACTCCAGATAGCCAGTTCATTCTAATGCAGATAATAATGATAACATCTTTCCCCAGGTAGAAGGCAAAATTATTATTACTAAAACTTATTTGGCATGGTTACGGCAACTCCTTAGGTATATGCTGTTCATTGTAGCACAATGTTAAATCACAGCTGTGCACCTAGAAGTCCACTGACAGAGGTTTTACATGAACATTCTAAGAAATAGTAACTTGTTTGATAAATGCTAGTGAGCCTTCATTCCCTTCCAAGTACACCACCACAGATCTTCAAGCAAAGTTATGGCAAGAATACAAAAGATCCACATAGTTTCATTGTAATGCACTTGTTAAAACCTTCATGTCACTTCACATAGTTCTGAAACCAAGTTCCATACAAAACATTCTATCTTTATAGAGACATATAAAATGTAAATTGCATTGAAGCCTTGCTTCTGCTGGCCACTTGAAAAATTACCTGGCCAGCTATCAGACAAGGGTTCATTAGTGGTACATAAACTTCTGCAGCATTTAACAGGCTTAAATCTCAGTCTGAATTGCAGTGTTTAACTCCACAGCATGCTGTGAATGGTTGTTGTTTCTTTCTTTCAGTGTTTCACTAGTGCCCACGTCCACACCGCTGGAGGTCCCGTTATAAACACATTCTTCTGCAATGTAACTCAGCTGTGGAACTTCTGAGTTTGGAGTAACTGGAAGGAGCAAAGAATTGCCACTTTGGTGTGGAGAGTTTTCTAAGCGATCGTTTTCTACCTCTGGGAGAATGCTAACGGTAGTAAAGCGACTATGGTAATCACTGGAGCCGTGGCTACATGAGGTTTTCATACTCTCCATGTCAGAGCAACTAAACTCCGAAAAGTGACTAGAGTGGGAATCAGCTACAGACGGGATACTGTCACTGAGAGAGGGAGAGTCAAATTCACTGGAGTTTGTGCTTTGCTGTTCCAATAACTGAGCATCCATGTCCTCTCGGGTCTCATTTATCTTCATGCTACCTTTTTTTCTTAGTTTACCTTTACATTTTTTCCCTGCGGTTGCATCTTTACACCACTTGGTGGTGCCAGACTTATTTTCCGACAAGCAGGTCGACGAACAACCAGCAGCATTACTACGGCACACGGCACTGCCATCCTCAACACTGCTGCTTCCACTGTGGTGTCTGAATTTCGTGGGCTTCGATTCAATGTCTACTTGCACCTCCAAACTGCTGCCCTCTCTAGACAGAAAGGGAGGAAAATCATCTTTAAGAATGTAGCAAAATGCAAGTTATGAACTCGTCTTGACTAAACATGAAGACGATCAAAGCAGTTTAGAACCAAAAGAGTAAAGGGTTTAGAAAAGCTGGCAACTGACAAGCTGCTGACAATCTTGCCTGGAATGCATCGTCCACTGGACTTGATTGGTCTGGCAACATCCACTGCCATCAAGTAGTTCTCAGGCAGACGAGAGGATGCTGTGGGCAGGAGTGGGAACTGCCACCACCATGCCAGTGGGCCAGGTGGGTGTGTAGTGGGAGCTGCCACCACTACAGGCAGGTGAGGAAAAACAGGAGCTGCTGCCACTGCTGCCTCCACCTCTGTGTGAGGCAGGCAGGTCAGCGAGCACAGGGTCTGGAATCCTCCCATGAGTTTTGTGGTCCTTGCTTGTATAAATTGGAAGGGACTTCTGGAGCAAGCCCACTTGACAACTGCAAATTCCCCACCCCGCCCTCTTCACACCCTCGGCAAGGGAAGGCAAGGACCTCTTCACACAGGGATGCAATGGCCGAGTTGTGCTACTGCTTGTCATCCCTATAGTGCTAATGGCAGGCAATGATTGCTAGCTGGCCTTAGGCCTTGCCTGGCAGGTAGCAGAAGCTAAGTGAGCCAAGCAGAGAGATGGGGAACCAAAGTGCTAGGCTGGACCTCAGAACCCCTCTTCTGCTGCAGCCTCCACAGATGCCGCCGCCATGCTATGTCCCCTCCCTGCTCCCCACCACTCACTGGAAGCACTGCAGGAATGGCAGAGGAATGAAAGGGAGTTTCTGGCCAGTATATAAACAGTGTATACTAGTGGAAGCAACATGGTGGTGCTGTCTAGGCTCTGGATCCTGGAAAATGATCGCTCCCTCAGGTGCTGACGTTGGGCACGGACTTCCTAGTCTTGCTTTGATAACTTATTTGTCATAAGTGACCTAGCAAGTGGCTATTCACAGACTTGACCACAGTCATACTAGAGATCTATCAACACAACAGCAGTCCAAAGTAACAGGTGTGAAGTTGACTACTGGAGAGAATGATAGTGCAGTAAAGTTTGCAAAGGTAGCAAAAAAGCAGAATATCTGCAGACAAGGCCTCCCAAGAAGTAACATGTTAAGTTTATAAATTAAAAAGAACCACTTCCCCCAACGACTGAATATGATTGTTGCTCTTGAAGCGGTTGCAAGTTGTCAAGGGACAACAAAGAAAACAAAACGAAGAGAGATGTTCCTTAAGAGCTTCCTAAGGTTTGTTTGGGGGAGGGTAATCAGAATTTTCCCACCCCCCCCCCCCAGTGATTCTCACTACCTCCAAAATTACTAGAATGGTGCTAGATTCCCACACACACACACACACACCCTTTCTGTGCTTCAGTCTTACCTGTCCAGTGGAATATAGGAACTGAGAATGGATCCAGCCATGGCCTTGGTGCTGGCGTTGTCGCTGGCTGTTCCTAAGCTAACAGTGCCAGATTCTCCACTCAGACTGCATCTCTCCTTCTGCACATCTGCTTGGACTTCCAACCTTAAGGAGAAAATTTAAAATTAATTTCAGTAATTATCTACTCATTTGGATACCACGCTTGAATCACTTCACCAACCATCCAATCTCCTACAACTGACAGATTTTTTGAACAAAGTTTCAGTCCAGTGGAACCTTTTAAGACCAACAAAGTTTTATTCACAGTATAACCTTTCATGTGCCAAGCACACGTCATCAGGTCCCTGAAGAAGTGTGCTTGCACATGAAAGCTTATACCTTGAATAAAACTTTGTTGGTCTTAAAAGGTGCCTCTGGACTCAAACTTTGTCCCACTGTTTCAGACGAACACGGCTACCCTACCTGACAGATTTTTGGGATCTTCTAACAGCAGATGGTTAACTTTTGAGGTGGAACGCGGGAGGTTAACTTTTGAGGTGGAACCACGGGAGGTGGTAGTTCCGCTCTATTCTGCTGTGGTCAGGCCTCACCTGGAGTACTGTGTCCAGTTTTGGGCACCACATTTTAGGAAGGATGTTGACAAGCTCGAGCGTGTCCAGAAGAGGGCAACCAAGATGGTGAGAGGGTTGGAATCCAAGTCTTATGAGGAAAGGCTGAAAGAGTTGGGTATGTTTAGCATGGGAAAGAGAAGGCTTAGAGGGAACATGATTGCAGTCTTCAAGTATTTGAAGGGCTGTCATGTAGAAGATGGAGCAGATCTATTCTCTCTTGCTCCAGATTGCAAGACTAGATCTAATGGGTGGAAATTACAAGGGTGTCGTTACCGGCTAAATATCAGGAAAAACTTCCTAACTGTAAGAGTGGTTGAGCAGTGCAACAGTCTGCCTCGGGAGGTGGTGGATGCTCCTTCACTGGACGTTTTCAAGCGGAGGCTGGACGACCATCTTTCGGGTATGTTGTAGGGCTATCTTTCGGCTATGCTCCTGCAGAGTGCAGGGGGTGGGACGAGATGACCTGCAATGTCCCTTCCAACTCTAACATTCTATGATTCTAACAGACTCTTGTGTTACCCCTATTTTGTTAGCAACAGAAATCAACCCTCATATGTAGTAAATTAAAGCAATGCTTCTAAATTAGTTAAGAAAGTAGAAACCCTGTTCGATCAGATGAATGCTGTATTTAGTTTACCATCTTCCTTCCCCAGTGGTCAACAAGATGCCCAAGGAAGCCCACAGATACAGACCAAAAGCCAAAGCCCCTCCTTGCCAGTGCCCCTCCCCCAGCACCTGGCATTCAAAGGTACCCTACAGAGCACTCGAACTGGAGTTATTGAGAGAAGCTGCCAGTTACAGATTCTTCTGCAGCCCCAGTGATATAGTGAAGATGAATACGCACTGAGGAAGCAGTCAAAAAGCTTTCCAACTTAGCAAGATCCATACATTTTGACATGATCCACCAGAAGAATTCTTCCTGTGGTCCCCCCCTAAGTTAATCAATAATTAGGCCCATCAAAAGCAGGCTGGGATTTATTTGCTTTACTTATATTCCACTTTTCTCCACAGCTTACATTGGTCTTCTCTCCTCCAATTTTCCTCACACAACAACCCTGTGAGGTGTGTTAGGCTGAGTGTGTGTGCCTGGCCAAGCGTCACCCTAACAAGCTCCCACGGAAGCGTGTGGGTCTGAACCTGGGCCTCCCGGATCCTGGTCTGACACTCTAATGACTGTAACACATGGCTCTTTATGCTGCCTTGCACATTATTCACTGTAGGGAGAAGTGCAGAAAACAGCAATCAGAGCTCTTATTGAAACGAAGCGTTGACCATCTACTATTTCTTAAAACATACATATACCTCATTTCATGATACCCATAATATTTAACCTGTTGATTTACAAGTTTTGTATGCCCAGTCAGGGCCACCAAGGTTTCTAACTGTTGGACCAAAGCAAAATAAAAAAATACATCTGAAAAAGAACTAAAACTAAAACACTCGGCGGGGAGGGCCAGGTACAAATCAAATGAATAAATAAATAAATAAACCACATAAGACAACAGCTAAAACCCAGGGCAGGAAGGAAGGATCACTAAAGGAATGCCAGATTGGAAAAAAAAATCTTCACCTACTGACAGAAGACAGTGACAGAAGGGGACAAGTGACTAACCCTGGGAAGACAGTTCCAGAGTGTTGGTGCTTTGACGGAGAAGGCCTTCTTCTCTTGGGTTTCCACCCATCTAATCTCAGAAGCAGGGCCTTGGAAGATGATCTTAGCATTCAAGTATGGGAGCAGGTGGTCCTTCATGTATGCCGGGCCGAACATTTAAAGGTCAACACCAGCACCTTGAACTGGGCCCAGAAACAAACTGGGAGCCATTGTAGATGGGCCAAGACTGGAGTGACATGGTCCCTACGACCCACGCCAGTCAACATCCTGGCTGCAGCATTTTGCACCAACTGAAGTTTCTGCACACTTTTCAAGGACAGTCCAATGTAGAGCACACTGCAGTAATCTGATCTACATGTTGCCAGGGCATGCACCACACTGGCCGGATCTCTTCTTCCCAGGAAAGGCCATAGGTGGCTAACCAACTGCAGCTAGTGAAAGGCACACTCCTGGCCACAGCTGCCACCTACTTATCCACCAGTAACCCTGGGTTCAGGGGCATTCCTTCAAGTGGAGTGCAATGCCATCCAGAACCAGTAACATCTTAAATCCTAGGTCAGACCTTCCACACACTAGTAGTGTTCTTGTCTTGTAGGGATTGAACTTCAATTTATTATCCTACATCCACCCCAGAACTGCCTCCAGGCACCAGTTAAGGGTTTCTAAAGCCTCCCTTGGATCCACCAAAAGCGCGTGATAGAGCTAAGTGTCATCTGCATACTGGTGAGAACCCAGCCCAAAACTCCAGATTACCTCACCCGGAGATTTAAAGAGCATGGAGGACAAGATAGATCCTTATGGGACCCCCCCGGCAGAGGTCAAGGGAATAAACAGTTGTTCCCCAGCACCACCTTCTGAAGCCATCCTTTGAAATAGCACTGGAACCCCCACAAACTGTACTTCCCAGAGTCACAACCCTGAAAGGCAGTCCAGAAGGACACCATGATTGATGGTATTGAAAGCTGCTGAGAGGTCAGGGTACCCCCTCCATACACAGAATGTTGTGCTGTCTCTGAAGAAGTGAGCAGTGACCCACAAAAGCTCATACCCTACCACAAAGGTGCTACTGGACTCTTACTCTTTCCTACTGCTATAGACAGACTAACATGACTACCCATCTCTAGCAGAATGCTGAAGCAGCTGCAAATACCGAACACTAACTGCAGCCACATATAAAACTAGAAGCTGTTTTAAGGCAGGGAGTGGATTTTCTTACCTGTTAAAGCAGTTGACCATTGCACTTCCCGACAGGCTTCCTGTTATACTAGCTCCCGCGAGAGCCATTGTGCTAGCTGTTTCACTCAGGTTGTCTCGAATGGCTCCTATTCTGTCCATGTGGCTGCCACTTGCACTCAGACTTCCATTCAATCCGCCCACACTTTCTTCCCCTATGCTAGGGTTGTGACGTGCCTCTGCTATTGACGTGGTATCTGTATTTTTTGAAAAAAAATAAATTAAAAGGTGGTGTTTCAAGTTCACAGAAAAAAAAATATTCCATTAAACCTTCTTTAGTGTAGAGGAAAACTTTGCTCTTGGAAAAATCACAGTAGTCATGGCTAATGTTCCCTCTAAGCTGTGGAGTCTTGTGAGCAAAGATTCTACGTTCTGAGCTACTGGGATTAAAGTTGTGAGCGAGCGATTTGGCTGCTGCATAAATTAGCTTGCTCTGGAGCCATCCCTTGGACCACCCACCCACATCCTCTGGCCAGTGCTGCCCAGGGAGCAGGAGCTAAGACAAAAATGAGTGAGCCAGAGGCTAAAAAACTGTGAGCTAGATCACACTAACTCAGCTTAGAGGGAACACTGGGCTGTGCTACCCTGTTTCCCCGAAAATAAGACCTACCCAAAAAATAAGCCCTAGCAGGATTTCTATGCATTTGTGGTATAAGCCCTAGTGTGTCTTCTTGAGAAAAAATAAATATAAGACAGTGTCTTATTTTCAGGGAATCACGGTAGCTAGCAGTAAGATTTTCCATCTGCCCCACTTTACGGTGAATGTACCTAGAAATTCAGTACTTACAGATTTTAGGTTCCTTTGAAAGAGACATACAAACTGGCCTTCAGTCAAAATTATTGATAACTTTCAGGAACTCAAATAGGTGCAGCCACCATCTTGGGACAGAAGGGAATAATTCCCAGGCACACCATGCAAGAGGGGCAGAGTACACGGTGGTTACCTCAGTTTTCCAAACAGTCCACAGTTCATAGACGTGTAAGCATGCATGTCTTGCACTTTGGCTGTCTGCATAGTATGCACAAATCTAGAACTAACTAATCCACTGAATGCTATATATTACTGCTCCAGCCAAAAAACCCCACCACTTCCTTACCTACTGCTGCATGTGTTCCACCAACAGTTATATCATTTTCATCATCAAATTCTATTCTGACACCCTTTCCATTGCCGGCAGATACACCACAGCCTCCACTTCGACAGAGGGAGATAGGAACTACTCCATACACATAAGCCAACATAATAGGGACACCAATACCTGCAGGGGAAAATGTAGGATACTACAATCAATACAGACTGAGAATTGCTTTCCATATTTCTTTCAAATAAACCACTGCCTATTTCTTGTAATCACTATGTAATAACGCAGAAAAAGAAATTCAAAAAGAGCTTGCTCCTATCCCTGCCAGCACCTTCTGGGCACAAGAGGATACTTATACCCAGGAAGATCCTCTGCTTCTAATGGTTTCCCCATTCATTTCAATGGAGGAAGCAGGTTTTCATGCAACTCCGTTTTGTCTATGATCTGATTCTTCCACTGGGATTATTGGGCCAGGGAACACAAAAGGCCTTTGTATATATTTGAGCATATGTGAATCTTGTAGAGTTCTGATTTTCCAAAAGGAACTGCTAAAAGCTACTTTTAGCAAAAACAATTGGGAAGGAATTACACTGCACCTTCTTCTGCTAAAACACTTCATACATCTTTATGCCCCACTTTTACAGTAAAAGTGCTGTGAATGGTTTTAATTCATTATAACAATTTCTCCAGAACTTTCCTTGTAAGCTTTCTTACTTACCTACAGTTACTGCAGCTACAACTGGTGAAACTATTACAGACAAGGTTACACCGCCTGCAATGGCCAAGTTCCTCTTATGCTTTGAGATGTCCTTGCCTTCATAGCGATTGTGAATCTGAAGGAAAAGAAAAAGAAAGATATTGCAGGACGTGTAACTCATCACAATCAGCATACTGCAAAACTAAGAAGCGAGAAGTAGCAGGTGTACCTTTGTACAGCTGTAACATTTTTCAACCAATGTGTTTAAAGTATCTTTGGTTACACCCTAAACTTTGGAAAAGGCTTCATATAAAGGGTCTGGTTCCTTCATCAGTTGTGTGCATGGAGATTTTCCATGATCTGGGAAACCTCTATTTCAATGATCTCCAACATGGCACCCACAGGCACAATGGTGCCCACTTGCTTCTTTCCAAAAGCACTTCTTCCCTTTCCTCGAACTCACTGGAAGCAAGAGGGTTCACGTTCAGTTCTGCAGGGAGCACCCAAATAGAAACCAGTATTCCCATCAGAGGATGACATTTAGCTTGAACCTTCTCTTCCTTTTGTGACAGCCTTCTTAATAGCAGTAATTCTGTGAGAGAAACCCCCCCCCATGGCAACCATTTTCTTTGTCAAAATTCCAGAAGTGGCCACTGGCTCAAGAAGACTGGGGACCCCTTTCTCTACTTTAACATGAAAATGTTTAATAGCTATCTGCAACTGTTATGACAATCTGCCCAGCTGCTTATTACATAGTACATACAACTGCTGACCTAAAAATATGATATACTTCTACAGGGTATTTCTACACACCACATACTTATTTCTTGTCATTATCATTTTCCAAACTATCATTGTTCTGCTTAGGCTATTAGCCTACCAGGCACAAGCCATGTTGTAGGCAAGCAGTAAAGATACAGACACCATATTAACAAAAAAGCCTCAAAGACTTGTAAACATGGCAATCAGTCTTGAGGGTGAAACACTTCAAACGTCTCTTGGTCATTGCACTGGCACTGCCCAGAGTACAAAGTCATTTTCTCTGTTCTGGAGGCTGCAATATGTAAACTGAGTAGCCCACAAAGAGAACACAGAATGGGACTTGAAAACAAATGATGGTTCAGCAAGATAAGCAGAATATAACATGGCATGAACTGTTGAATATTTTGAAGCTTGGGTTTGGGTTTACCAAAGGGCTTACACAAAATAAAACTACTACAACACAAGAAAATTCATCTAAAAAGGCAGTAATATTGAACAACAAATATAAACAGCAAGAATTATAAAACCAATAGTCTGTAATTTCTGGATAATCTCAAATCAGGAGGCCTCTTTCCACACAACCATTTTGTATCTATGTTCAATTTTAGGATCATGTTTGTGTTTTACATTGTAAGATTTTATATATTAAAAAAATAAAAAAATAAAACATTTTTTTAAAAAATCAGAAGGCCGATCCGAATAGGATTGAAAACAACAGTGGTGAGCTGGAAAGATAGGTCTCCTTGGTTTATGGAAATCTAAAAATCTGAAACTTTTGCCAAGAATGATACTGGATGCTAACATGATCTCTCACATATGCTGGAACCCCAGGAGAGCTTCCTCATATGTTCTTAGATCACAGAAGAAAGGGAGGGGGCAAGAGATGGGTCAGGCATTCCTTCAGATCAAAACATGTCATTTATGGCTTGAAAAGTCAAATCCTGCACTTTGAATTATACTTGGAACTAACTGATAAGTCGAGCAGCTTCTTCAGGACTGATGCAATAAGCTCCCTCTTGTCAACAACCTGTTTATTGCAATCTAAAGTTTAGCCTCTCCTGGCAGTGACAGAGAGAACACAGGTAACGTACCAGAGCTGTATGAAGTAAGAAAAGAGAAAATAGGCCAAATTGGAACTGGGGGGAGGGGTAGGCTTACCAAATATTAAATACAAAATAATTGTGCAAATATGTGCAAATTAATGTGTGTGCAAATTAATCTTGGTTCTGCAACCGCAACCACCTTACCTTGCGTCCCACGTACACAGGGATTCCAATAATCATAGCTGGAATAGCAATACCAGCTATTAAGGCAATTCCTACAGGTGCACCCACAAGTGTCCCCAGCTGCCACAGTATTTTCTTCTTCCGACTCCATGGCTTTTTCCCCCAGAATGTACAGCCTGATGGGCTAGGAGAAGAAACTTTCCATAAATAAGACCAACCAATGAGTCACAAACCCAAGTAATTGCCAGAGCTAATCAAACACTCCAACAGATAAAGTAAATATGTGGTTGTACGTAAACCTTTTCTAAAACAGCTGAATCTTTAACTTGTAACTAAATAATTATTAGTTTTAAAATAGCACTGGGGGGGCAATAGCCCAGGTAAGCCTGATCCCATCAGATATTGGAAGCTAAGCAGGGTTGGCCCTGGTAGGATTTAAAAGGGAGATCACTAAGGAATAACAGGGTCGTACGCAGAGGCAGGCAACAGCAAACCACCTCTGAACATCTCTTGTCTTGAAAACCCCACAGGGGTTGCCATAAGTCAGCGGTGACTTGACAGCAAAAAAAAGGGGGGGGGAGAAAACAACTTTGGTTATATCAAACAAACAAATATCTGAATGAGTGGTCAAGATGCATAGTTCATTTTGGTCGTATCAGACTGTGCCATGCCTTTCCACAGTAAAAAAAATATCAAATGAGTCGAATTTTTTTAACCACTCAGGTTTGTAACAAGGGTTTCCAAGCCTTCATGGGTAAATAAACCTCTACGGGGAGGAAAGAAGAGAGATGATAGATTCTTCTGAAACATAACCAAGATAAACACTGTAAAAGTTGTGTTCTGTGTTCCTCTAGGGCATAAGAACACACATAACAAACGAAAAGATTGGGAGGACAACTACACATATCTATCACATGCTTTAACACTGCTTCATCAACAGCTCCATGGCTGATAATAAAGTGAAGTGGAGAGAATGAGAGCGGAAGATGTTCCACTGTTCCTTAACACTGCCAGGCAACACAAGAAGTCAAGTGAGCTGCTTCCGAACAACCAGTTCTATTCAATGACAGTAAGAGATTCCACCCAGTGGCCAGGACCCTTAGTAAGAAAAGAGATTGCTGGGATAGATTCTCTTGCAGCTTATTGCAGGAAGTGCATTTGTCCATGCTCTACAATATAATAAGCCCTGTTGCTTCCTGAGTTACATTAATTTTCGCCCCAGAGTGTGATAAACTTGCATGGACATATGTACAACCCTTGACCCAAAAGGCACTTCCTATAGTAAATGCCTGTACAAAAAGCAGGCTTATGCATAGGGTGCTCCTTTAATTACACATTTTAATTGAAAGACAGGTCCCTGCCTTGTCCAATCTCAGAACATTCTTTCTTTTATCAGGTCATTCTAAAACAGGCTTAACTGGGTACAGGATCAGACTCTCAGACCAGGACAAAGAATATACCAAAATACACTTTCCATAACTTTTTACATTTCTCATACATACCTTAAATAATGCAAGTCTGAAATCTCCTTCATACACAGCCAACAAAATTCACAGCCACAGACAGCACATGTCATGTGATTGCAGCTTCCATCATTCATCTTTATTATATAAGCTGCACAGCGCGGGCATGGCTTTATGTCATCAGCTGTGTTTAAAAAAAACAAGAGAGAATCATAATGGCCATATTGCTTCTGAGGTCAAACAACGTGAAACTAAATATGGTTGGGAAATATTTCTGAGCTTTAACTACAGAGCTGTTTCCAGACTACCACAATATCGTAAAAAGCCCTTAGTACGTTCCCACATGAAGTTCCTACTAACTTCAAAACAGAGTCTGTTGAACTGAGGCCTATATATTGTCCACTTTTAAAATCCTTATTAACAGCTTACAACCAAGTGGATTTTCACTTACAGGCCAGAAAAAGAAAAACAAAACAAAACAAATGAACAAGTATCATATAAAACTTGAGATACTCATTTTCCCCTGAATTGAGCAGAGGGCTACATATTTAGAAATTAGACTAATTCTATATATTTCCCCAAAAAGTGCCTTGCAGTGTCAACTCTGTCCTCTTCCCAGTTCTCTTACATCTTAGGGTCCAATTATACATTATGCACAAATGTTTAACTAAACGGAGGAATCTGCTTTTTCTCAGCAAAGAAGCCTCAGAAAGCAATGATTTGAAGGAAAGAAGTCTGCAGAGAGTGAGTTAAGTAGCTTGGAGGGGTGTATGAAGCAGACAGAAGTAAAAATTACTATCCCCCCCATACAGAAGTGTGTTCTGTTCACACAGAAAACAGATGGGTTGGGTCTGTCCCATAATGTTGCATAATTCAACATCTGTACTCAAGTCCAGTAGTTTAAACTACCTATATCTAAGTAAACATTCATAAGAAAGAAGAGTACAGCAATACTTTCCCACTTCACTATATATCAAACAGATCATTCTACACTAAAGTGATAGCCAAGTATTACCCCTATAATGCTCCAAAGGGATTTTCTGCTGTCCAGTAAGAAAGTGTTTCACTGGCAAAAAAAAAGAAATTTTATGCAGGTACATCGCTTGCACAGGTAACAATGCATTATTATCATGAATGAATGAACAGAGGTGGACAGTCATTGCTACCAGCTGCAGAAATGTTACCACCACAAAGATTTTTTTAAAAAGAAAAAGGTCTAGGGAAGCTCTGCCTTCTCTACATAAAGAAGTACTTAGAACCTGACACTATCAGAAACATTATGGTCCATTCTGGAAGCTTTAAACTGAGAGTTCTAGCAACAGACAGAACACAAAGTGGTACAGTTTTCCCCACTACATTGCCTCCTGTATTCCCATTAAAGTCAGCTATCATCATTCTGTATCAGAAAAATCTCATTTTTTTTTTTTTTTTTAAAAAACCCCTCTCTCATCAACATTATAGAAACACCGATTAACTGGTTCGTCCTCTGCTTATAGCATGAGTCAGAGACGTACACAAGAGATCATGTAATAACATTTTGAAGACATCTAGATTATAAGTACCTGCTGCTCCAGACTCCTGGCTGTAGCTAATGGATGAGGAACGAATTGTTCGCAGACGTAGACTCTGAGCTCTCTCCTGGCGAGCAGCATCACAGGTCTGGTTTGGATGCCAAATCTGTTTACAGTGGTAGCAAAACTCCGTTCCACAGCCTTCACGCCCACATGTAAGTTTTGGACAGCTTGCACAGCCGAAAGCGATCACAGCATACCTTGAGAGTTCAAGAACAGATGAGGAATAGGAAGAAGAGTTGTTATTCTCAGATTACACAGTGCCAATGAGAATAGTTCATTCTGTGGGGAAATTTTAAAATACTGCTCATTATGTAACTGGAAACATTATCATATTTATCGAGATTTGAATTAAAAGGCAGTAGCTAGCAAGTTCTTAAAGTGATGCTGCATAGTAGCATAAATACGTAATATTTTACTTTTATTAATTCCCCTTTGACTCTCAAGTACCATTTAACAACTGCAACACTGAAGTACAATAAAAGGCCAACACAATGCCAAGACCACGGCCATACAGCCCAGAACATCCACCATTAATAAAAGGCCAACCGTATAGTCAGGTACAAATAGCATGGGTAGCACATCCTAACCTCACCTTTGCTAAGTGTCTGTTTTCGATCCTATAAAATGTATACTGTATACTTAAGATCAACAGATGTTGCAAGTCACAGAAAAAGACCCAGAAAACCCACATCTCAGGTAATGTAGAAATTACAGAACGCACACAAAGCCAGAAAACTAATAGAAGAGCTGCTTATGGACGGAAGCTTTTGAGAAAGGCATACAATGCTGAAACACCTATCATGCAAACTCCTTAAGCTTAGTTGTTCCAAAAAAGAGGATACAAATCAATAATAAAACGTATGTACTTGTCTTGATTCTACAAAGATTATAATAGTGGTCTAATACTGATTGAACAAATAAGAGTTTCCTAACGCTATTCCCATGATGCAGGTAGGCATGGATAACTAAGCCAGGAAAACCCACTATATCTGCATGCAGGTACAGCACCCCCCCCCCCCGAAAATCATGTATTCATGCAAATTTGGGATCTCTTAGTGCACTCATTGCCTCTTCCCACAGCACAGGAGGACAGCACAGGCCCGAGGCCCATTCTCAGGCTAGGTAGCCATTAAGGCCCAGGCTCAGATACTCACAGTGTGTCACTGTAAAGAACACAAAGGGGAGTGCAATGACAGTCTTAACTGCACATCCCAGCCTGACATTGAGAGGCAGTAGGAAATACTGTATCCAGCTGACATAGTACAGATGTGACTGGAAATCAGCCACAACATTTGCTCTCTCATAACAGACAGGAGTTTGACTCTGAAATTAAGTCGTTACCCCCCAGATTTTCTCCTCAAATGTTCTGTAGCCCAATTGTAATAAAATAGTGCCGTTTGTAGAAAAGAAGGTATTGTGTTACGGGTCAGGATCCACACCCCACCCCTTTCTCAAGTCTGTTTGGTAGTGTGAGCTTAGAGCAGCAGACTCACGGGGATAATACCCCTCAGAGCCAAAAGCACAAGCTGTAAAAGGTTTATTGCATGGACATACAAACTACTGGGGAATTCTACAAGGTGAACTACAGAATGCAGAAAACAAAAGGAAAATACAGTTCTGTTAAGTCCTGAGCTTAACAAAGAGTCAGAGAGTGATTTCAGCCAAAACTCAAGTTTATTCCTCTTCACGATCACTTCTCCAACACGGTACAACATCTGATAGCCCGAACACTTTGCCCATTGAAACTGTTCGGTATTTAAACATTCCCTGCTAATATAGCCACTCCTACTTTACAGATAACAACCTATCAGGTTGATCGCATAAGGACCAATCACACACGTTCCCGCTTCCAGCTTGTTTGAATGTGATTGGACGCATTTGTCTTGGACTTGAATCCCTGTCCAAGACGAAGCTTTACATTGCTCCCCAATGAGATGTTTCACGTCACATCTAATGCATTCATGGCAGCATCTGAATACATTACAAGTTCCTTGCTAACTAAAACTCTCATGCTTTTCTGACATCTCCCCATCTCAAAAATGGATCCTCCTTACCCTCCCCCCCCACAGGCATCTGAGCTTGGCAAAACAAACAGCTGGGTTCTTTCTGACCCATAATTTAGGGGGTTTCTTAGGAACAGGGAGTTCCTTCTTGCTGGACCAATTAAAAAAATGAGATGTCCATTCAGATTTCTTGCCAAAGGAGGCTGTGACCACTGAACTGTTACTTGGGGATCCTAGGAAGACTCACACATAGCTCTAAAGCGGTGCAATGTGAAACAATGTAGGGTGCAGAGAAGAAGAAATACATGTCCGAGACATGAAATTCTCCACTAACTCTCCCCGAGTTGAATAGTTAACAAGTATATTGTGACATGACAAGTATGACATCTGTATGTTGATTGTCCCCGCTCCCTCCACCCAATATGGGAAGTGTATTTGTTGTGCATCTTCTGTGTAAAATGGGGTTTTTTAAAAACAGGGGTTTCTTTCCAAAACACAGGGATTCCTTCCATAACATTATCAATGTGAGGAACCTGAATTTCAGAGTGAAACTTGGGAGCTGAAACTATCAGACAGACTCTTAATCTTGAGTTATGCTTGTCATGGATGAGAGCAGAAGGGGACCCATTTCATCATAGAAGGGTCTGACATTTGAGATTGGCCAGTGTTTGTGATAACAGCGGGGCTGAGAAACCTTGGCAGTTGGCATGGTTTTCACAGCCAGGAATGAAAACACTGGATCTTTCTGATATACCAGCACTTGACTATTGGCTTTATGAGTTTGGGATGGCCCAGGGAGCCAGAACCCAAGACCCAGATTGGCCAAGACCTTTTTGCACACATAGTATAATGACTTTAAAAAGAACTGTTTACTTTCTTTCTTTCTGTATGTGTGTGTGTGCGTGTAACTGGGACCGTTGGGGGGAGCATCATCATGCAAAGAAGTCCTCTTTATACATTCACCAATATTTGCATCTTCGGGTTGGGAGGGGTGATCAGATGTTCAGGAACTGCAAGTTCTAGTTATATTAGAAATCTCTCTTTCATTTCTTTTATTAGTCTCTGCACCACAGTTCTGTAGCTTTTATAATCGCTAGAGTAGAAATGTGCAGCAAAAAAAAAGTACTTTTGGAACCAGATATATTGGAGCCAAACAATATCACTATTCTGAGATTTTCTTGAGTTTCCAATATTTTTGGCTCCATTATTCCTTACGGGAATCTTTCTTCGGGGGAGGTGTTTGTAAAGGGACTGGCATCAAAATTGCAAATGGAGCCAGCATGGTGTAGTGGATAAGGGTGACAGACTCTAATCTGGAGAACCAGGTTTGATTCTGCACTCATCCACTTGAAGCCAGCTGGGTGACCTTGGGTCAGTCACAGCTCTTTCAGACCTCTTGCAGCACAAAAATAAGTCTACCTTGCCACCTAGTGGTGCATAATGCTAAAAGGACTAGAACTTAAGCTTGCCAGACAATCTTAGGATCTCCTGGCTATACCACACACAATGCCATACGATAATTATTATTACCAACATTGCAGGGAATCTACTGGTGCCTGTCCTTTAAATAACCTCCAAATTTCAAGTCTGTTGGACCAAGGGGTCCAATTCTATGGGCCCTTGAACAAGGTGCCCCCAGCCATTCTCCACTGTTTCCTATGAAGGAAAAAAAATGAGAAATATAAAACCCGAGCATCTCGTCCATAGGAACGCTGTTGCAAGCTATGGCTAAGCACAAATAGAGGTATGTCAGTAGAATTAAGTTTGTATGTGTTTAAGATATATAAAAAGACTGACTGATTTATTTAACCAGTCTTGGCTGTGGTCAGCATTACTGCCCAGATC